GCCGGTTCCCTTGTGCTGGACTGTGGTGCTGCGCAGCACTTGGCCCAAAGCAGCTGGGCCTTTGGCTTCAAGCAAACAGCCCGGGCCTGGCTTTAATGTGGGGCAGGCGCCTGCTCTTCAGGCTTCCCTGCTTCTCCGTCCGTGGTAACCGGAGGATTTGGAGGAGGAAAGGGAGTGCTGGGTCTGAGGCCCGAGCGGTCGCTGTGCCGCCCTYGGCACGGCCTCCGGAGCCTCCTGCCCTCCCCTCCGGCAGTGGGGCCGACCCACAGCACCCTACATGTGCGTGGGGCTCTTGGCACAACGTCTGCACTGACACCTCCATGGCACCATCACCGCAGGCCRTGCAGCTGGGCTGTCTCACATCGTCCCACAAGGAAACTCTATGTGTGCTGCTTTATTAGCTGAAGGAGCACGGAGATCCAGAGAGTGACGAATGCCACAYGCTTTTCCTGCCCCATTTCCTCAGCATTGCTGCAGGTACTGAGGAGCAACCGCAAATTTTGGTGCCAAGGGCAGAATTACCACCTTTTGCTTTCCATCTGAAGCCTGTTTTACCAGATTTTTGTTGGTTATAAATCTCCCTTCCTTTCAATTGCTCCTCTTCCACGTCCAATTTGTCCCTGTCTTTGTAACTTCTGCATATTCTCAGTGAGTATCTGAAGACTCCTGCAATTTTGTTGACCTTCTATCTGCACTCTGTTCTGCTCTGGGGGAAATTCCACTGCTGAAAAAGCCTTCCGTGACGACTGGCTTGACTGGGTGCGTTTCCCTGACCAGCAGCCGTCCCCCTCCTTTCAAAAGGTTCCCTCTCGACAGAGGCTGACCTCACGTGTGAGATGTGGCACTACACACGTCGGGACATCCGATGATGACAAAACAGCATCAAAAAAACCACAAACAAAGAGAATTACATAAAGAGGAGTTGTCTTGGGTCGTTACAAGGCTTCTTTAAGATGTTAAAGCTGCCATTAATCATGAGCTCCCTTTTAGCTAAAWCCCTAATTGTTAATATCTGCAAGCGCAGAGCACATTAACAGCGGGATGTTTGGGGGCAACACTCCTGTACAAAACATATTAATTTTATTAGCTAATTAAGTTATTTTCATCACAGAGTGCTCTTTGAAAATGTCAAGAGCATGCTTGCATGCTGAAGATGAATGGATAGAGAGGAAACTACTTCTATTTTAAAACCTCCGAGGAGAAGATAAAAACGATGCTGGGGCTCAAAGGCAGCGCTCCGGCATTCACTGCTGCTCTTGTCAGCGTAAGCGCTGGCGCAGACGGAAGAGCAGCGACGAAGTCAGAGAGATAACACACAGGAAGCCAATGTTATGTTTGATTAAAAGCAGCCAGTACGTTTGGTAGCTATTTAGAAAGCAGACTGAAGCAGTGCTATACTAAACTACRCAGAACAAAAATGTATCTAAAATGTATATAGCTAATGAATTATAATAGCTAAAATTATGACTTTTTTTCCTTCAATAAAATAGCAGAGGGCTCAGAATTCTCACCAAGAAATGAYGCAAACTAGATGCCAAACAGTCAAACTGCTTAGTATATGAATGAAGAAAATTCTGACTGTCTCTCTCATGGGCTGAATTGTCACACACAGAACCACAGAAGGGTTGAGGTTGGAAGGGACCTCTAGAGACCATCTAGTCCAACCCCCTGCTCCAGCAGGGACACCCAGAGCACGGGGCACAGGGCGGCATCCAGGTGGGTTTGGAAGATCTCCAGAGAAGGGGACTCCACAGCCTCCCTGGGCAGCCTGTGCCAGGGCTCTGGCACCCTCACAGGAAAGTAGTTCCTCCTCACATGGAGATGGAACCGCCTGTGTTTTAATTTATACCCATTTCCCCTTGTCCTATCACTGGCCACSACCGAGAAAAGCTTGGCCCCCTGCTCCCTACATTCTCCCCTCAGGTACTTATGCATATTGATCACATACCCTCTCAACCTTCTTWTCTCCAGGCTAAACAGGCCCAGCTCAGTTTTTCCTCATACAAGAAATGCTCCAGYCCCTTAGTCATCTTTGTTGCTCTCCGCTGGACCCTCTCGAGAAGCTCCACGTCCCTCTTGTACTGGGGAGCCCAGAACTGCACCCAATCCTCCAGGTGCGGCCWCACCAGAGCTGAGGAGAGGGGCAGGATCCCCTCCCTTGACCTGCTGGCAACACTCCTCCTGATGCAGCCAGGATCCCATWGGCCTTCTTGGTCATGAGGGCACACTGCTGACTCATGGKTRACTTGGTGTCAACCAGGACTCCCAGGTCCCTCTCTGTGAAGCTGCKYTCCAGCAGGTYGACCCCTAATCTGTMYTGGTGCCTGGGKTTWTTCCYCYCCAGGWGCAGGACCCTGCACTTGTCCTTRTTGAACCTCATGAGGTTCCTSTCTGCCCARCTCWCCAGCCTGTCCAGGTCCCTCTGGATGGCAGCACAGCCCTCCGGAGTGTCGGCCACTCCACCCAGCTTGGTATCATCTGCAAACTTGCTCAGGGTGCACTCCGTGCCCTCATCCAGGTCATTGATGAACAGGTTGAACAGCACCGGGCCCAGTGACTTGAGCAGGACTACGTGATCTCTAGAGGCCCCTTCCAACCTTAATGATTGTGATTCTGTGATTCTAAAGCTAATCCTCCTTCAGTAGAGTAATTTAACTTATTATGGGGTTTTTTTGTTTTGTGATAAACTTTTTAAAACTTCCCATGTTTTTATATTAGTAAAAATGTATCCTGTGGTAATTGCAAATTTTCCTTTTTCCAGAACAGTTGCCATAGAAGTCTGTAATTTTATAGACTGAAAAAWAAATCAATGTAATGTGTATTCTTGTTCCTGCAGTCTTATTCCTACAGTTTCCCATTTTGTCTGTCAGGCCATCTTATTTTGCAAAATGCTTCTTTTTCCTTCCAAGTTRTCTTTGTTTTATTCAAGACAATTTTAAGAGTTTGATCTGGGTTTTTAGACAAGTGTGYATTACATATGTCATCTAGATAAGCACGGTTTGCTGCACCCTCCAAAGCCACTGTTTGGCCTGATGCTGCCGAAGGCAAGCRCCATGCAGATCCTTTCCAGCAAGCTAGATCCTTGCATCTTGTTTGCACAGGTCAGGGTGCTTTGGCAGCTCTGTGACCTGGTTTTGCCATGTGTGTTTCTAATCCTGCTTTAGCTGCTCGAGGGTATAGTGATCTCTAAGACTTCCTGGCCTTAGCAGACTCAGCGTTGAGACTCATGTAGTTTTATCCCACTGTTTGAAAGCCCCAGGCGATAGTGAAYCTGAGCAGAAGCCTAGGCCGGGGCAGAGCTTCCCCTGGGGTGCCATCACTTTTACCTCCTCCTGTCAAGGAGCGCAGAAGTCTTCCTCGGCACCATCTACTCACTCAGCACGCCACGAGCGGCAGGAAGCTGAATCCTTTAACACTTACTTAACACAGGTCAAGGAAAGCGTTTAGGGTAGGCTGCTGGCTCACTCCCTGGSCAGAACAGAAATCTGCTTTCTCTCTTACAAAAAAATCCCTGCAAATTCCAGTGTATTTGAAATGGGATAATTGTGGGGGTCTTAATTGTCTTTTGTTGTTATTTAATAGCTATACAATCAGACAGAAAAATGTACAGTAACTAGGGATGCTGTATCTTTATACTACAGAAAGAGCATTTTTACAACCTATACAACTATCTATACAGCTAATGGATCATTTCTGCTATTACACATGGTGCTGGTGACTAAGGCTGCACCACGGGCTGCACATGGGTGAATACATTCTGCACCTGGAAGTGAGGAGATCGCAGACGGAGGGAAACAGAGCACCCCGTCACCGTTGCTGGATTTGGGGCCACGGAGCGTGTAGCTGCCCATCGCCCTCCAAGGAGGCTGCTGCCCGCAGCCTTGTGGCCAGGATGTCGAGCACCCCTAATGCGTGCTCCGCGMGGCGGGAGCACCACCTCCTTGCGCGGTGGGCACCCGGACTGGGAGCTCAGGCTCATGATCCACATGCTGCCTGCGCGTCTCGCACAGCTCCGCGGAGGCCGAGCTTCYGATTTCAAGCCTCAGTATCTGAATTTGAACACCTGAGGTCAACCATTCTGTTTGCCTCTCCATCTTACGCGAGGAGATGGGTTTCACCCACCTCAGACATCTGAAAAAACAGAAGCCTGTGCCTGCATTAGGCTCCCGGCTACAGCTAGCTGGGAAGGGTTGTCTGCAGACAACRGGGCTCCAGCACGGGCCAGCCGTCCCGCTGTGGGTACCGCAGACAGGCAGTCGTCCCTGGGTTGCACAACCCAAGGAGTGATGACACACAGGCGGAGACGTCCCCCTCCGGTCACCACGCGAAGCGGAACAGAAACGCGGTGCAGGAAGTCCCTGGGCTCGCTGCAGCGTTCCTGCCACCCGCCGCAGGGTTAATGGTGTCCTACGGCCCACCCTGTGCCGYGAAGGGCTGGCTCACACCTGCCCTCGCCCCGGGGAGCGCTGCTCTGGGAGAGCCGGGCAGTACTGGGGCTCAAATGCCCCTGTCCGCGGGAGGCGCACGCGGGCTGGCGGCGCCGCACGTCCCTGCGCGCCCCTGCTCGCCCCATCGCCCCAGCCCCATCGGCCGCGCCCGGCGCGGCGGCCGCGGCCCCTGCG